GGGAGGAGTTTAAGGAGGAAAGCCATGTCATGTCACAAACAAGTTATGTTAACAAAACTCTGCTGCAAATAGTTATTTTATAATTAATTATAAAATGGGTGATGTATGACCATTGTTTTATAGACTGAATCAGGACTCAAATGTTGAAGTCTTAACACTCAGTGTGACTGTATTTAGAGACTGGACCTTTAAGGAAGTTGTTAAAGTTACTGAAAATAAGTGAAGTCAGCAGGGTCAGGTCCTAATCCAATAGGAATGAGTGTCCTATTGCTTTATAGTTTTAAAGTGTTCATCTCATAGATCAGGAGGAGACACTGGAAATCTCTGTGCCCTCCATTGAAAAAAATCATGTGACAGCAAGAAAGGGCCATTTGCAAGCCAGAAAGAAACTTCACCAGGAACCAACCTGCCAACCCCACCAGCATGTTGATCTTGAACTTCAAGCCTCCTTCTGTGAGAAAATACATTGCTGTTGTTGGAGCTACCCAGTGTGCGGTATTTTGTTATGGCAGCCCTAGTAGATTAATACTGTACAAAACTGAAGTCACCAAAAGAATATAACGTCATAACCAACCTCTGTAAAACCAAGTCCCTAGTCCACCTCCACTTAACTAGTGACTGTCTTTCCTTCTGTGAAATGTTCTGAGGCCCACAGCAAGCTGCTCTGGCTGGGGGGTGGGGGTGTCAATCCTTTAGAGGGTTTCTAAAATTCTTCTCTAAACCTTCAAGCTTATTTTACCAAGAGTCACTTTCTTTTTCTTTTTTTTTAATAATTGGTTCTTTTTAGTTATATGTGACAAGAGTCCATTTTGATATGATTATACAAGCATGAAATATATCTTATTCTAATTAGGACTCTAGTCTTATGGATGTACATGATGGTGAGTATCACTGTGGTGTATTCATATATGTATACCAAGAGTCAACTCTTGATCAAGTGCATGGCAGCTGTATTTGTTATTACAATGCTATATTATATATGTAACTTAAGTAAATTTTACTAAAGAATAAAAGCTATTCCTGTACAGAATGGGTTAAATGCTTTTGAGAAAATCCAAAATAATAAATAATGAATATATATACACATCCCTGCCCATTAAGATGTGGGTGTGTTGATGATAAAACTAGAGAGGAGGATTCTGCTGTCAGACTGCTTTGCAAGACTCAAGTTTCCATGAATTTTAAATAAGTGAGACTCAATTATATAGATAACAGATTAGAGGTGCAGCTTTTGCAGAGATGAAAACAATAAATTCCTATAATCCATGAAGAAAATTTTTTTCTTCATGGATTATAGGAATTTATTGTTTTCAATAAATTAAAATACCTTGGCTCTACATCAAAAGAATCACAAATTAAATGTAGTTCTAAGTGGTTAAGTTAAAATAAAATACTTATGGTTGTATTTTTTATTTCCTGTCTTAACTGAACATCTCAAACGACCACTAAATATGGATTCTTGTGCTGAACACAAAGTCTTCTATTGTGATATAAAAGAAAGGTTTCCTTTCCATACAAGCTCCTCGGGTCCCTACCCAAAGGCCACCAGGACTCTGAGCTTCTTTTTTTTTTTTTTTTTAGTTGTTGATGGACCTTTATGTTATTTATTTGGATGTGGTGCTGAGAATCCAACCCAGTGCCTCACACATGCAAGGCAAGTGCTCTACCACTGAGTCACGACCCCAGCCCCAACTCTGAGCTTCTTGTGCATCATTCCCTGAAACACTCCACATGGTTTCTGTTATCATTTTTTAAAACCTATTTCCCCCTGTAATAGGGACATGGAGAAGGATGTTCAATGTGACCCTTCACCAACTGTCTCAGAGACCTGCTTGTGCCTAAGGGAAAGAGAATAAAAAAGCCATCACTCCTGACCCCAGGGCTCTCATTACCTTGCCCCCATAGACCACTGTGCTCTCATTACCTTGCCCCCATAGACCACTGTGCTCTCATTACCTTGCCCCCATAGACCACTGTGCCTCCTTCTTTCTTTGCTTCTTCCACCGCTCCAAGAAACATGCTCACTGACTGTTTGGTATGGAGTGGCCCATATAGAACATTAGCTGGGGAGAGAAAAGGAATGATCTTCATTTTGCCCTAAATAGCATCACTTTATTATTATACCAGCTTTTCAAAATGAATAGGCTAATAATAATCCCTTCCTGTAGCCTCTCAGTTAAGAGCAGGAGTTGGAAACTTTTTTCTGGACCACAAAGCGAACGTACTCCACTTTGCATACCATATGTGACTCTACAACTATTTGATCTCGCCTTTGTACTGTGAAAATTACTGTAAATGACATAGAAAAAAGCATGGTGGCTATGCAGCAGATACAAAGAGGTGGTGAGCCAAATCTGCTTGCCAACCCTGGCTTTAGAAAAATGGCTATCAATCAGAATACTGCATTAAAAGTTCAGGATCAGAGGCCTAGAAGTGTAGCTTGGTGGTAGAGTGTTTGATTAGCATACACGAGGACCCAGGGTTCATCCACAAACAGTGAAGTGAAGTGAAATTAAATAAAATAAGATTGGTTTACTCATTACAGTGTGAGCACTGCCTAAGAATATCACAATCTCTATAGCTTTCATGAAATTCAAAGGGGAGAACCTGATGCTGCCCTATGTTATGGCTGCTGGAAACAAGAGCATCAAAGATAACCACAGGTCAGAGGAGGGAAGATTTAGGTAGGCCTCTGTGAGAAGGTAGCACTTTATGCAGAGCCAGTTACAGAAAGAGCTGGATGAAGGCCAGAAAGAGCCAGGAATGCTTGAAGAACTCAAGGAAGGTTGGAGAACTGGAGATTAGAGAACAAGGGGGAATGTGGACATAGTTCTGGAGGGAAGGTGGGTAGCTATGAGATCACCAAGACTGGGAACCCATGAAGGAGGGAATCAAAAGGAATCTAGTTTTAGTCTAAGCACAATAAGAAGGCCCTGGAATACTTTAAGCAGAAAAGTGAACACATTTTAAATGATCATTCAGGTTTCTCTGGGGGTCAGCAGTGAAAGTCATAAAGTCAGGTAGGGAACTCTTACAGCCTTCCATGAGAGAACACAGCAGTCGACCTGGACAAGGGTAACAGTAAATGGAGAAAAGCTCATCAAACATCAACCCAGCTGAACAGCACCTCCAAGTCTCACTCTCCAGCATATATTAAATGCCTAGATCCTAACCTAGCAGCACATGTGTCTCATCAAATGCCCAATAATCTCCTTCATATTCCCCCAGGCCTCTAAAAGAAGACAAAAAAAAAAAAAAAAAAACTCAGAAGATCAGAAACACTTTTAACACAAGCTGTTAAAATCTTTAAAAACGGAACCAGATACTCACGGTCCCATGGGTTCCCAACTCGGATCTGTGCGTAGGCCTTTTTAAGTCTATTTACAACATCATCATGGATGTTTTCATGTAAAAACTAAGAGAAGAAAGAAATATTCATGGGAATAGCAAAATGTACAAGTTTTTAAGCAATGAATACTTTTTTAAATAGTATTAATAGCTTTTTAATACTATTAAAATATAGTAATCCCTGAAAACATAAGCAAGCAAAAACATGTGTTTTAAATTACATCATTTCTGATTTTAATATTAACTATATGAAGTTAATAATTTCCTCCAGGTAGATACTAGAATAAAAATCACAAGTTTATCAATTGTCTAAGGACCTATCCAACAAAGTTTCACAAATCCATTATTCCTATATTTGTTTGAAAGCATTTAGACATTTTTTTTTTTTTTTTTTTTTTTGCAGTGCTGAGAATTGAACTCAGAGCCTACACATGCTAGGTAAGGCCTCTTCCACTGAGCTGTATCCCCAACCCATAACTTCTTAATCAGAGTCAAGTCCACCTTGAATACAGTGCAACCACAAGTCTCAGCACAATGGCTGGGTCAGGCTGATCTGTGCTGGGTCACCACAGGCACTCAGTCTCAGACAACATAAATCTCCAGCACAAGGTCTTAAATCGGGCAAGGATACCCATGCACTCACTCTGTGTGGGATGTGAACTCTTGCTACATTCCTAGCAGCAGAGGTAAACCTGCCAAGCCATTCATGCTCTAGGCTAATGTCCCTGTGACAAATGAATTGTCACTTTGAGAACCAATCACAAAGTGGTCTATTATACTGTAAAGGTTTTTCTCTTACACCTCACTGTTGCTATGGAAATCAGTTTGATCAATTATTAATAGCATTCTTTAATATTTAACACTAAATATAAAGCATGGCTATATATATTTGCTCCAAGCCCCAAAGGAAAAATAAAAGTGGGCTGAAGAGAGAAATGAGTGGCTCTCAAGTCATTCCATAATTCATCATTTACTTAAGGATATAATTAGCTACAGGATGCTTCTTTCTTTGTTTTAATGTAATGTTTATGGTAAATCAAATTAATAAATTGTAAATGCTATGAATATCATAGATGTTTTTGAAGAATTAAACTGAATAATGTGATTTTCATTTGCAAAATGCAAGAAAAAGTATGAAAAGTGTGAGAAAGATAAGGATTGAATTTTCATATACCTTTTATCTTGTTCTAATTTAGATTATGCTAATCTTCCACAGAATTTGTTCATACTCATTGTGAATGAGAGCAAAATTCAAAAACAATTCCTTCAGGATTTGATTAGTTTTTTAAAATGGAACAATGGAAAAGCTCAACAATGGAAAAAATAAAAGGAAATATGGTCAGATTTTGTACCACATTAAAGTTTAAACTTTAGAAATCCCACACACTACAAGTAAACCACATCTTATATACATTTATTATTATCTGTCCTATGCATATATATTTGTGTGTGTGTGTGTATATATATATAGATAGATAGATAGATTATATATTTAAAGAAAACACAAAAATAGTCATTTGTTTTCAATAAACCATGTCACATCAAGTCAAATTGAAGACTTGAAGCCAAAAATCAAAACCTTTTAAAATGTTTTTTATAAAAAAATGAGTCTGGGGATGCAGCTCCGTAGTAGAGCTTTGCCTGGCTGCCTATGGCCCTATGGTCAATCTCCAGTACCACAAAAAGATAAAAAAATAAATGAGTGGGAAAAAAAAAAAAAAGTGAGGCTACTTTTTAATTGAGTTTTAGAATTTTTCTAATTTCTAGCTTTTTAAGTGACGCTGTATTTTGTCCATCTTGTCCTACAAGTATGAATAAAAATAGGTCTCACCTTTCAGTGTAATACCCATCAATTTGTTTTGACACCACTGCTAGCTTGGGGTGGGGGAAAAAACTGAGTACCTGGTTGATCAACATCGCCTCAAGCACTAGAGAGCAACAAGCCCACACATTTGCAATCCATGTCAGCAGAAAATATTTTTCTGGCAATATGTCTACGATACCTATTCAGCATAATTCATTAAAATGTGGTGTATAAGATCAGGAAAATCTCATGCACTACACAGCACACTCACCAGTCGCCTTGCAGTGGTACACCTCTGGCCAGCTGTCCCCACGGCAGCAAAGAGAGCTGATGGAACAACTAAGCTGAGGTCTGCATCCTCAAAAGCTTAGAGAAGCACAAACAACATGCCCATCAGTGCAAGGAAACAGGCAGAGAAGACATCTGCTAAGTGGTCTAAAAGGATGACTTTAAAAAGTAAGAATGCCAAAACCATCATAAAGCAAGAAGGATCACGTTGCTGACATATACACATGTGCTCATTAGGGGTGAAGACACTTTTCTTCTAGAAAAGATTACAGAATAGAGCAATTAGCTCTATGACCTTTACCCAAATACACAGGTAAACTGAGTCTCTCGTTCTCAGCCCATCATCTTTCATCTTCCTCAATTTCTGACACTATCTGAACCTCCTCTATATGGTCATTGTCACTCTTCTGTAATGCGATCATGCTCTTCATCAGCTTTATTTGCCTCCAATCTAAATTCCACAGGCTCTTTTGATGCCAGTGTCCCTGGGTTCATAGACAATTAAAGACCTCCATAAAAAAACATGCTCTGGAAACACCCAAGCACTCACTTGCATTAGTCAATTTCCTGTTGCCATCCTGCAGATGCTTTTCCAAATCATTTTCAAATCATTGAAAAACGTCTGCTTTCTGCTCTACTACATGGAATGATCTTATCTTCCACTTGATGGAAAAATTCACATGGAAAAAGCCCCTTTTTGAGCTTCCTCTATTCCTCTGAAGAGATCAATACAAAGTCACTTTCAAATTCTTCTCTATTTTTATCTACTCTCAGAAGAGAAAAAATAGTATAATCTTTATAAGAATAACCCTTCCATTTATATATTTTTTTAATTCCTCCTTTCTTATATCTTCTAGAAACTTACAGCCAGTTCCTCCTTCCATCTTCAATCCTGACCCTCCAATCAAACAGCATTGTCAGACTAGCATTATGGTTAAGAAAGTGGTTTGTGCAAACAGACCAGAGTTCTCATTCATCATTGTTTTTTAGTTGTGTTATTTCAACATTCTTTTTTCCCCAGTACTAGAGATTGAATCCAGAGGTACTACCTCTTCCATTTTACTTTTCATTTTGAGACAGTCTAAGTTACCTAGCTGACCTACAACTTGCCCTCCAGCCCCCAAAGCTGAACACACTCCCTGGCAGGTATCTAGTGTTCACAAGTGCTAACTACATCTAGTGCTCACTAAGTATAATCTCAACTAGATTAGAAGTTCATCTAAAACAAACCCTTTGCCATCTGTTTTTAAATCTGTGATGAACACCACAAATATACAGACACAGAAACATGAAGATAGCAGCAATATAGAAATTACCAAGTTTTCCTTTTTATCACAAAAGCTGTTTCTATTAAGACTCAACGTACTGACTTTCATTACATTGTCCAGAAGTTAGGGTGATTTTCTAATTCCCTTTTGTGCCAAACTCAAATAATGAAAAGAGATGCAAATCATCTCTTGGTCTGCAGGTAAGTGATTAGCAAAAAACACCTGAGGAAGAATGCCCTCCCAACAGGAAACCTCCCACACTCTGCAGAAGATCAGCTACAGAAATTAAAAGGAATCAGCACATCATGCAAGACTGAGTTATTCTGGAACAACATGCAGTTAGTTTTCAGAAAACAAAGAAAAACATGAAGTAATAATGCCACAGTACAGACAACGGAAATCTCGTGCACAGGTTCCATATCCTGTGTTATATTCTCCAAACATGAATACTTCTCCTACTTAGTTATCTTTGTCTCTAACCTCAGCTTGTATTGTACCTTATAAGTAAAATTTCTACATGGAAATAAGACCCAGCTCACATAACATAGGAAGGATTACTTCCTAAACAAGTTCTGTATGTTCAAATGGCTACTGTGGCTATGTTAAACAGAAAACAAAAAAACTAAAAAAGGGCAGCCTTACCAATAATGGCATTGTTTCCTCCAAGTTCTAACAAACTTCTCCCTTTAAAAATACAAACACAAATTAATTACTATTCAGTATTTACTGCACATTGCTGTATATCTTCAAATTATAGTCTATCTCAATAATTTTCAAATTTTTCTGATGTATAATTATGATAAAATATTACCAACAAATTTCCTCATTTTGATAATTATACCATGCTTACATGAGAGAATGCCTGTATTCTAAAACCCTGAAATATTTAATGATAAAAGGACACAATGTCTTTGACTTATTCCACTAACAGTAACAATAACATGTACGTACTATGTGTGTGAACACACATGTGTACATATATGTTGCTGGAGAGAGAAAGTGATAAAGCAAACTGAGGCAAAATATAAGCAATTAGTGAATCTGGTTAAAGGGTATAAAGAATTCCTTATACTAGTCTTGTAACCTTTAAGTTTGGAATTAAGAGAAAAATAATGTAAAATGGGCCAGTCACTGAGGAAAACA